AATATCAATCAAGTTGAGTTCGCTTTGTTCATCGAGTCCATTCGCTGATGTTTGTTCAAATTTAAACTTACTTATTAAGAACCCAATCAAATTTGGTTGAAACTCAATTCAAGCTTTTAGAAATATGTTCAAACTTGAGCTCATGTATTCAAGCTCCGCTCAAACTCAATTCATATAAAATTATTTAATTTATTAAGAGATAATTTGTCTTCCAAAATAAACAAACTTTACATGAGTTTTATTCCGACTATTTATTTTGAAGAATAAACAAGATATATGAAATAGTCTGAAAAATAAATATTCAACCAAAACCATGCGTGAATTTTAAACAAATCATAGTTAAAATTTTTAATGAGTTTGTTCACAAAAGTTAACTGATTTTGTTCAGAAATATAAATAAAAAATACTATTCAATTTTGTTAACTTATCAACCAAATATTTACAAAAAATATTCAAGTTACTGAGCTTGCAGAGAGCTTTAACGTGCAAAATTGTAATGAGCTTGCTTTAACAGCTCCAACCAGTAATTTAACTCGAGTAAACAAACTTGTAGAATAAGAAGCTATAGATTTTACCTTTGCTTGGTCTTCAACTGGTGTATCTGAGATTGTTGAGCGCAAGCCCAACGTTAGTTCTGAATCTGCAATAACGACATCACAGAAAGTCTAATTGGTAAATTCTGAACTCTAGTCATCAATAGCCCATTAATTGTCATCCAGAACTACTAAGCTCAAAAATACAAGTCAAAATATAAGATGACCAAAGTGAATCTAAGCAATTCCATGTTAACACCCAGTAAACTTTAAAAATCCAAAAAGGAAAATCACGCATGGAAGAAGACCACCACCACAAAGGTTTGAAATATATGGCAACATGAAAGCATATCTAGCACAAGTACAACAAAACAAATCAACAAGACTGGAGCCACACCCAAACTCAATGAATCCCCACTAACTCAATAGTCCTCCGGTTCTTCCCCATCATCATCAGCACCCTCAGCACCGACTTCCTCGTAATCTTTCTCGAGGGCAGCAAGATCCTCCCTAGCCTCCGAAAACTCGCCTTCCTCCATTCCTTCTCCAACATACCAATGCACAAAAGCACGCTTTGCATACATGAGATCAAATTTATGGTCAATGCGGGAGAACACCTCAGCCACCGCAGTGTTGTTGCTGATCATGCAAACCGCACGTTGCACCTTGGCAAGGTCTCCTCCAGGAACAACTGTAGGAGGCTGATAGTTGATTCCACACTTGAAACCAGTTGGGCA